TGTTCCAAAAATTATTGTCACTAAAAAACAGACATTGAACTAATGTCCATGGTCTTTAAGGAACTTGTTAAACAACTGTCAAACAATTTTCAGTATTACAAAAGACTGGAATGCAATAACATTGCAAAGAAAAACTAAATGCATTTTAAATAAGTAGTTCTGTTGTAATATTTTTAGAGATAAGTTGAATTGTTTATTTTATTCTTTAAATAAAAATAGCAGTTCTTTTTTTTATAGTTATATAATTTTTAATTATATAAGAAATACTGTGAACACTGTCAAAAGTAAAGCCTATATTTAAAATATCCACATTTTATTTTATTGCATGCTTCTTCACTATAGGGACTTTCTCATGTGTTATAAGAACATCAATTATTCATCAAATCTTTGATTATTTTTAGTGAAATATTGAATTTAATTCTTTCTTCAGTGGAGATTATATATATAAGCTTTCCCATCTCTTCTCTCAGAGAGGCATTGACTTTATTGATCATAAAATTAACTCATGGAAAACTTGACTTTCTTTCAAAATAATATGTGTTCTGAACATCTTATCTTTATTGTTCAGCTGGTATATAAACTTGCTTTGAAAGAGTGTTTTTCTAATGTATTTTCATCATGGTTCAGTCTGATTTAAATCTGTTTTCTAACTTCTTATCTTGAAAAGGACTAGTACATTTTGGAAAACATTACACCCCTTGCTCATTTGTGTCCCTTCACAGTTTTCTATTCTCTTGACTGTGAAGACCTACAAAGTGATTGAGTACAGCCTTAATGCCAAGGATACATTGTTTTTTGTTCATTTTTGGAGTGTTCCCTTCACTGTGTTGGCAAAACTGATAGATGCTCATCATGAAAACTGCTGCAATAACACCACAGATGGGAAGACAGCTAAGCCAGATCCCTAGTCCTTCACTGTAGGCTTCTCAGGCTGAATTGAAGGTGTGGGTTGAGGTTGCAATCTGATACAAGGTTGGAGCTCTTTACCAAGCTAACTGATTGCCTGCAGAATTAACTTCACTGAGGTTTTATGATTGTCTTGTTAATTCTTGGCTGAGATCAAGTCTCAGTCCTCATAGGGATCCTTTAGGCACTTGCCACGCAGGCTCCTGTGCTCACATGTTCACTTGCTCAAGACCAGCCAGAGGAGCTGGGAGTATAGCTTAGTTGGTAGAGTGCCTCGCATGTACATGGCCCTGGGTTCAATCCCCAGCACCACAAAAAAAAAAAAAAAAAGACCAGCCAGAATCATCTGCACCATTTGCTAGGTCAGACATCTCCAGCAAATGTGTCTTAAGTCAATGTCAAATGATTAAGAGCCTTAGTTATATCTTCATATTATTTTTTCCACAGAACTGAACAAGTTGATAAGAGTAATATGCCATTTAATTCACGAGTCCCTCACACTGAGGAGCAGAATTATTACATAAAATGGTTGGGGGCAATGGGGACAAAAATAGGGAGCATCTCAGAATTCTGTCTGCCACAGCTGTTCTTTTCCAGTTCTCATGTATCTATAATTATAGGTACCTGTTTCCACTCAACATTATCTGGGAACAAGATGAGGCCTAAAAGAGCCCAGGGGGTTATTCTGATATTTAATATTAAAAATAGCTTATCCTCCTTTTAAGTGAAAAAAAATTATTTGGCACTTAACATTTTATGAATATTTAATTATCTGGACTTCAGCAAAGAGTAAAGAAAGCAATGTAACAAAAAGAAGTAAAAGGTGATAATTTGACCCTTCTCTCACTTTGTATTCCAGAGAGCAGCTAAATAAGCCATTCTCCAATTCACCACAGTCACGGTCTTAAGTAGCACAATTTCCTATATTGTGAATTGTTTTCCAGAAGTTCTGATCGTACTAATCTTCTGTTACAGAAAAATCCAAAGAAGTTGCTCAGTTAAACTCTCTTTAGTCAGTCTTTTTCTTATTCTTCTAGAAAGGTTCACTGAATTAAATATGCCCAGAGCAATGTCATAAAATTCTCAAAGTACTGTGTAAAAAATAAATATTTCAAATTTATTTAATCCCATCAAAAATAGAACTAATTTTCTAGCAATTACCAAAAAAAAATCTTTTCTGTTCTATAATTATATCAAATGTTAGAATTTTTGTCGATTACAAAATCTCCCTCCAAATATGGCATTGGTCCGTCAGATGGTTGAGTACAGTCAAGTAGAGATGATTGGTGATTCTTTGCTCTTTCAGAGTTACACCATTTTGTGAATTTGCCTAAGGGTCAGAGTCATGAAGAAGTCCACATAGAATATAATTGTGGCATTTCTCTTACAATTTTCTCCTGTTCTTTGATCTTCGTAGGAAATAACTTTTCAGTTGCAAAAAAAAAAATCTATATGTACAAAAAGGTTCTTTCATCTCACTCTCTATTTCCCTCACTGCCAAATTCTTACCTGTTGTGATAGGCCAGGAGTTCTTTAAAAACATACATCATGTCTTATCTCCTAAAAATAAAAGTAAAATTTAAAAAGCAAAAAATGTTTCGTAAGTCTCTTTCTGTCTCTGGCTTGAAATCGATTTACCAGTAAAGAGTCAAGTTCATCCAGACAGATGTAATGTATTATTAAGAGGGAAAATAAAACTATATATGCAATATATAAGCTATATATACAAATATACACATTAGTACAGATAGTCAGAGGCATTTCAACATCTAGAGGAAAATTAGAGATGGGAAACAGTTGGTAAGAATGCCTACATTTTAGGATAGCAGTGGATTTGGAGCCCAAAAGAGAATAAGTCTGAGCTGGGGCAACTCAGTTTGCTTTGAAATCAAGGACTCCTAAGTTGTTAAAATTAGATTGCTCTAAGATAGATGTTAGGGTTCACTGTCAGGAAAATACATTTGTTTAAAATTTATGGAGCACTTATTTTTTACATGCAAGAAGAACTTTGTATTTTCTTTAATTTGAATTAGCCAGTGTACTCTTTCACCTTACGTTTTTTCTCTTTTTTTCAGACAACTTCTATGGTATTTTAAATGAAATTTATTGCTTCTTCAAACTCCTCCATTAGACAACATGCCTTTATTCTATAATTTATTGAATGCTGAGAGAAAAAAAAATCTTATTTACCTTTGTACCTTTCAGTTCTTCCGAGGGGATACCCCTTGCCTTGCCAGAACTTTGTATATTTTAACTAATTCAGTGCTGAAAGTTTTAATTTGTTATTTGTTTCTTCCTTTTTCCTAACTAAAGTTATTCTTGTAAAGGATTTAAATTATTACTAATTCACTACTCAGAAACTTACATAATAATCCTAACTTATATTCACCATTATAGTCCTTTAATATTTAAAATATGTGTCTTATCTTGTCTTGGTCTTATTTATTCGAAACTGTTCATTCTCACTCTTTGTACTGATTTCTTCTTTTTGTCTTAAATAACATTTTGACATATTTTTCTGGAAATTAGCTGTATTTTCTTGAGTCTGATTCCTTTCTCAAAGCATGAGAGTCAAGCTTTAGATGGGTCAAAATATCATCATGGGATTATCCTCTATCTATGCTTTCTTAGATATTTCATTTCTAATCATGGGACCAGTGGCCATATTATCAATCTTATTTCTATTTGTTTTAAGAGAAATAAACATTTCTAACAGGAAAGTAATAAAAACTGAAGGAAATCAATGTTATATGTTAACAGGTATGACTAAATTATCAGAAAGTCAAAATCAATTATTTGCATAGAACAAAGATAAAAATAGGAACAAGAATATAATGAACTTGATAAAATAAAGGGAATAATTAAAGGGAAAATAAATGTATGTTCTCATGCATTAAAAATATTGTGAGGAGACTTACTTGATGCATATACAAGACTAATAACTGTTTTAACCATAGCAGATTCCATTGAATTGTGAGAGTTTTTGAATATATAAGTGATTTTTTTTCTCTTTTTCTCAGAAGAAATACATAAAATAATACTCATGTCTTTAAAAGTGAAAATAAACCTCTTTTAGTTTCCTCTGGTGTGCTAGATAAAGGAACAGATGCTGACAAGACAATTAGCAAATCATTGTGGTCACACTATAGGGAACTGCTTTAGCAAACAGAAACTTAAGAGTCCCCATATTCACTGTTAATGTTAAATTTGTGTTGTCTTAGTTTTTCCTTGAAGATTAGAAGTCTGAGTCATTATCCTTAAGCTTATCACTTAACAAAGCAACATAGTAGCACCATATTCTGGAATACAGCATTTTCAGTTACTTTTATAATAAAACTAACATTTACAGTGAGGGTGAATGTAAGTAGTAGCAAGTTAAAATTGAGCATCACTGAAGATCTGGAAAATGACTTGTATGTTTGTGCCAATGCCTTCTTTAATTTGTTCATATATGTTGGAAGCCTGAATTCTTGGTGATACTTACTGACAATGCATGGGAGTACCCAGTATTTATATGCAGTTCTGGGAACACAAAAGACCAACACTCTTCATAATTACCATTGTGTGTGATTTTGAATCTTGATACAAATGTTTTCTAATAAAAAGACCTATTAATTCATAAGTATTTAAAAGAAAATTATACTAATGTCACAATAGAAAAAATGAGCTTAAAAACATATGTTGTTATGCCAAATTTACAAATGGAATCTAGAAATTTTCATTATACAATTCCATTTTTGTTCCATTTCTTTATCTCTGCTTGCTTCCACTAGATGTCAGTATTGGATAAGATGTGAGAAGTGCTTTCCTTAAACTATTAACTGATTTCAAACTGCTTTTATAAAATGTGTAACCCCTATCTAGTATGTATGCTTATAAGTACATTATGTAAATTTAATATGTGCAAAAGATTATGTTTATGAGTTACCCAGAAAGTTTGACCTTGTGCTTTACTTACACACTAATTATAAAAGTGAGACATTTCAAAACCAGTATAATTAATACCAACTTGCATTGCTCTGAAATGATGCTCATGGTTTATGCCACATTCTATACAAATGTAACACTTCACTTTGGATTTGTCCTCACTACAGCCTTTAGATTTTGAAACGAAGAAGGCATATACTTTTAAAGTAGAGGCCTCCAACCTTCACCTTGACCACCAGTTTCACTCTGCTGGCCCTTTCAAAGACACTGCTACAGTGAAGATCAGTGTTCTGGATGTAGATGAGCCACCCGTATTTAGCAAGCCACTTTACACCATGGAAGTTTATGAAGACACTCCTGTCGGGACCATCATTGGCGCTGTAACTGCACAAGACCTGGATGTGGGCAGTAGTGCTGTTAGGTAAGAAATATTTTCTTTTTATGTGTCATGAAAACAAAACAAAGACAAACAAATAACAATTTTCTGACCAAAAGTGCATCATGATTCACATATAGAATATTATGCTAGAAATTATATATAAGAATAGAGGAAATGCCGTAGGATTTGGACAAAACATCTGTATCAGTCCTCCTTGCAACATTTACTGCTGATAAGCTATTGGATATGTCACACAAACTAACAAATCTCAATTTTTAATCTATGAAAGATTTAATAAATGAAGTTCAAAGAATGATTTTCCAAATTAGTTAATTTAAGATACTTTCGCAGTGCCTAGAATGTAGCAGCCATGTTATAATTATTTTAAAATTTCTGTCCCCAATGTTAGTGTTTAAAAATGGATGGTTTTGTCATTTGCGATTTGAAAGCGATTTTTTTCTTGTTGTAGTGACTTTCCATTCTGAATGTGAGATTGAGACAATGGAAACACATTTAGTCAGTCCAAGAGTAAGATGAATTAAGGAATTGCCCCGAACCCAGACTTTGCATGGAGCTCTTTCCTATCGATACCTCCTCACTAATCTCTCTCTCTCTCTCTCTCTCTCTCTCTCTCTCTCTCTCTCTCTCTCTCTCTCTCTCTCTCCCCCTTCCTCTTTCCCTCCCTCCCGTAAAGCTATAACTTACAATAGCACTGTGATAAAATCCCCTTTTCCTTACATTGATCCTGCAATAGGATTGAGATTTCCTTCCATATTCTGTTGTTTGCTAACTGACCTTACAGGCTTTCAACTCTTGAGAACCAATAGAGAACAGCAATGAAAGCTATTCTGGACCAAATTAAGAAAACGTTATGTAGTCTTTTAAAACAAAAATACTCTATTGATATAGAAAGGAATAAACATATCTCTTAAGATTTTATGACATGTGGTAAGTAAATACCAAAAAAATTGCATCATGTATTCAGTGCTAGAAAGCACATCACTGTAGATAGCACAATCTGAAGAAGTGGTTTGAAAGCATGTTTTTTTTGTTGTTGTTTTTGTTTTTGTTTTTGTTTTAATTGTATTCATCTGAATCTATCCCATGGGGTGCTCAGTCAGTTTAGGCTGTAGTCTTAGATTACCACAGACTGGGTGACTTAAACAATAAACATTTATTTCTCAGAGTTCTGGAGGCTGTAACTTTCAAAATCCAGGTGCCAGCAAGTCTGGTATCTGGTGAATATTTAGAAGATGGTGGTCATCTTCTTCAGTGGTCATGAGGCAGAAAGAGACAGAAAGTTCTCTGTGGTCCACTGTTTAAGAGCATGTGGGCCCCACTCATACAGCTTAAATACCACCATCTCTTAATACCATCATATTGGGGGTTCAGACTTTGTATCATGACTTAAGGGGGTAAGATGTTCACAAGCACTATGTCCTTAACATTCCATTCTGACCTACCAAGATTCTTGTTCTCACCTTCAAAATATGTTCATTCCATCCCCAGAGCTCCCAAAGTCTCAAATTATTCCAACATAATCATTTGAGTTAAAGTACAAAGTCTCACCTAAATAATATCTAAACCAAATATGGTTGAGATTCAAGGTAAGATTCATGCTGAGGCAAAAATTCCCTCCAGCTATGAGCCAATGAAACCAAACAAGTTATGTGTTCCCAAAATACAATTCTGGGACCTATGTCAGACATCACCATTCAAAAAGGGAAAAACAGACAATGCAAAAGTGATGACAAGTCCTATGTGAATGTGGACTATAGCAGGCCAGATTCCCTTCAGCCCTAAGATTTAAGAATAATCCTTCTCTTGGTCAGTACTCTGCCCTCCTGGACCACTGAGGCAGAGCTCCAAGCTTTTGCACTCACCAGGGTGCTAACATCACCCCTACTCCTGAGCAGGACTCTACACATGCTGTGGCTCTCTATGTTGGCCCTACCCGTGTAGGAAGGTGGCCTCCCAGCCCTCTATTTGGCATCCTCACCCTTTGGCTCTATAGGCATTGATCTTGCACTGTGAAATCACTGGGAAGGCAGCCATGAACCTAGCCCTAGGAAGGTTGAATTATGTTGGAGTCCTTCTTCTTTTGAACTGAAGGAAAGCACATGTTCTCAGCTGAAGGTACTGTAGGGCTTCGGAAGTCTGAGAGTCTTCTTTCATTTTTCTCACTCTCTGCTTTCTTCAGTCCTTTTTGGCAGTGCTGCTGCTGCTGTGATGACATCTTTACTCCTGGCTTTTGTTGTTATGGTGGTTGGAGTCTGTTGTTCACACCCACAGGAATCCCTTTATCAAATGAGTAGTCTGCCAACCCCTACTGTGCTCTTCTCAACACACTTTCTCATGTTTTACTGTATGGATGAGCTATTTCCACATTTTAAGATTATGATTCCCACTGGCTTAACCATTCCATCTTTAGTTAATTTCCCTCCACATTTTGCTATAAGTAATTAGAATGAACCAAGTTTCTTCTCCAACACTTTGTGTAGAAAACACAAAGTAAAAAATAGTAAGTTTCACACCTTGAAAGTTCTATGTTCCACAAAATGCTAGAATATGAACACACTTCCCCAAGTTCTTTGATCTTTGATAATAAATATCACCTTTCCTCCAGTTCCTAGTATGTTCTTTATTCCTCTCTGAACTTCAACAGAATGGTTTTACCATCTACCTTCTACAACACTTGTTGGAGATTTTATACCTGTTCTCTAAGTAGACAGAAACTTTCTTTATACTTCTTTTCTTCTTTCTGTGCCTTATGCAGGATGACTCTGAATGCCCATAATGTATAGAAATGCAAAGGTCCCTAATCCCATCCATAAGGGTTTCACCTCTGAACCTAAATACTCCACAAAATGCTGACCTGTAATACCATTACATTGCAGGTTAAAACATCAATATATATATACAAGGGGAGCATGGCCACTCAGATCACAACAGATTCTTTATTTTCTATAGCACATCTGTGATCAGGACAGAACTCTTAAAGAAGCACATCTGTCTCACAAAAAGGGAGCAAAATAATAGTAATGAGCATACCTTACTTTTCAGGTCAAGTACTGGCCAGTTTACTCATGGGGCTCAGGCTGTTTTTCTGCATGTCAGCATTGCAACATGTTTCAGTTCCAGTTAATCTAAAGAGAATGAGTAGAAAATGCCTTGCAAACAAAATTATAGTTTTTTTTAAAATAAATGTGTAAAGCTATTATAGAAATACTGAAGATTGTAACAAAAAATAATGAAAACATTAAAAAAACCCACTGATTAAAACTCCCTACAGTTTAATAAAAGAGAATTGGGGTAATAGTCCAATTGCATATGTGGAAATCACATTCAATTTTTTAATTGTTGAATTACATGATGATACAAAAAAACATTAACAAAAGTTGTCCTTCTAATGCAATACTTCAAAACCCTTTCACACAGAAAAATTTAAAGATTATATAAGTAGAACACATCCTTAGGTAAAGGGACAGTTTCAAACCCAGGAAAATTGTCAAGTTCATGATCCTGGTGTGAGAAGGAAAAGAAGGATACATTTCAGAGAAATTATCCTGCACAAGTGGGCTTTCAAGTTTCATTGTTTATGTCATAGGAGTCATGTCAATGCCACTTTATGTTAAAGTCACACCCTAGTCTTTCTTCTAATGAGTAGTGCCTGCTTCCAAGATGAAGTTGGATCTAACTGATTCTGTGAGGAGTTGTCAGAAGGCAGAATTGTTTTGAAAACATGAAACTGGTCCATGTTCATGGAGTAAACAACAAACTTGAATCATGCCAGTTGTCGAAATATCCTGTTGAGTCATCTTCATTTGGTGTAAAAAAATGTTTGCTCACTTAACAATGATAGTGAAAGTATGTTCTGAAAACTAAATATCAAATCTATAATTATTTGACACATTTGGGTACTATCTATTTGTTTTGTTTTTCTTTGTTTAACGTCTTTTCACAGTGTTACTATGCAAGGTAAAATTTAGTAGTGTTAATCTTTATCTCTGGATATTTTATTACTGCTATTATTATTATCATTATCACTGAGCACAGTAAAGCCAGAAGTAATACCATCACCAAGAACTAAACCAACTTCAAAGAAAGATTGGTTTTGATTTTCTGCCTGGCAAACTTACCACACAGTTCCCTAGTATTCTTAGTTTAATTTGTAAATAGTTTCCTCTTTGTTCTTCCAGCCTTTGCCTTTTAATGCACTCTTCTTCTGCCCCTAGTATTGTCTACCCTTTGTGGTAGAACTTGTTACAATAAAGGTCATAAAAATGATTTCAAGTCTGACTGCAACAAGTGTATCTATTACTAGCTACTTTTTCAATACACCATAAATTTAATCAGGTGGGCAAAAATACACATTTATTCACAAAGCACATGTGGGAAGAGATACAAAAGTGAGGCCAAGCTTCCCATATGGCATGCTAAGGCAACAGATAAAATTTATTTTAATTATTGATAAAATTGGATGGGAGATACTACATGTTCAAAAAATGTCCATTCTATTTTTTTTTATCTTCCTTAGCAGGAATTTTGTGATGATTAAAAGAAGTGGTGGTATAAAATATTTCTAGATTAATCTGCCACATTCTATGAGTTGCATATGTGATTTGTTACTTTTTATTCAGCATATAAACTTCAGAAGGCCAGATACTGCTCTTCACTGGCTTTTTATCTATCTATCATCTATCTATCTATCTATCTATCTATCTATCTATCTATCTATGTATTTATTTATGTTTGTAGTCAGGGTTCTACTATGTTGCCCAAGCTTGACCTAAATTCACAATTCTTCTGTCTCAGTCTTAATAGTCGCTGAGATATAATCACAATCCACCAAGCCCCTCTCTTCTGCATTGGTCTTGATGAGTCCCACATACCTCAAACATTAATGTTATAATTTGTTCTAGAAATGTCACCCCATGAAGCAGTGGTTCAGAGGTAGGGCTTTTTGACAGTGATTAGGGCTAGAAGATAATTGGTGGATTAATATATTTAATGGAATAATAACTTGAATGGATTATTGGGTG